ATAGCACTCCTAGGAATATATCCAAAACACCTGTTTTACGACAAACCAACATGCATCCCTATGTTCATTGCAGTACAATCAGTAATTGCAAAAACATGGAAGCAACCGAAATGCCCATCAGCAGAAGATTGGATAAGAAAGCTTTGGTTCATCTACTCCATGGAATACTACTCAGCTATTAAAAAAAACAAAATGCAGTTCTTTGTGGCTAAATGGGCACAACTGGAAACTATAATGCTAAGGGAAATGAGCGAATCCCAAAAGATTAGATACCACATGTTTGCCTTGATTTAACCTGTAATTTTTTGTTTGGTTGTTTGTTATTTTTTGAACCTGTCATTGATACTGTCTCAACCCAGATGTTTCGAAGAAGGGAACCTTCATTATTTTTAACATATTGTTTACCCAATACTATGTCAATTAATTCCATAATGTTGTATATTGATACTGAGGCCTTGTTGGGGCTTTTAACTGACCGGATCTTTACTCTGTTAGACCTATCTTCAGACCATAGAAGGTCTCCCCAAGAGGCCACTGAACTTATCTGGACAATAAGACGCTGAACTTTATGCTAGGCAAGTGTTTGCAAGCAATGAATCTCAACTGAACTTGAACTATGGTTATGCAACAAGGTGGAGGAATCCACCATGGGGGGAGGGGTATGGGAGGGGTGGGGGAATCCCCAGTGCCTATAAAACTGTACTACATAATACAATGTAAGCAACAATAAAAAAAAAAAAAAGAAAATAATAGGAATTATAAAAAAAAAATCAATTAGAAAACTAACAATCACAATCCATCCCTTGGTGGCCTTAAGGACAGAATGCAGGGGCCAGTGCTACAGCAAAATGTGTTAAACCACTGCCTGCAACACTGGCATCCCATTTTGGAATGCTTATGTGACCCCAGCTGTTGCTGTTCCAGTCCAGTACTCTCCAGCAGTGGAAGATAGTTCAAGTGGTTAGACCCCTGCATAAACCCCCTGGGAGATCAGGATGAAGCTCCTGGCTCCTGAGGCCACTTGGGGAATGCAATGGCAGAGAGAAGAGCTTTCTCTGTAACTCTGCCTTTCAAATAGATAAAACATCTTTTTAAAATAATACAAAGGACTATATCGAAAAAGGCAATATGTAAATTATAATGAAATACTTAGAATATGTTCAAATCATTCAAAAGAGGACAGGAAGGTAGGATCAAAAAAAAAAAAAAACAGAGATGTCAAATGGAAAACAACACAACAATAAGACTAACCCAAAATATACCAATAACTACAGTAATGTAAATTAAACTCTCTAAATGACATATAAATAAAATAAAAATAACAAAATAAATAATATGAAAGGCTATGTATAAATTGTATATACATAATAAGACAGCAACTAATATTGATAGATTGGACTTTTTACAATTTTGCTTTAGAAATTTTTTATTCATTTATTTTCAAAGTCAGTGTTATAAAGAGAAAATCCTCCACCTGTTAGTTCATTCCCCAGATGGCCAGGCTGAAGTCAAGACTCACCAACTTCTTCTGTATCTCCCAAATGGGTCGCAGGGCTCTAGGGACTTGGGCTCTGGGCTCTACTCTGCTGATTCTGCAGGGACCTGGATCAGAAGCAGAGCAGAGAGAGCGTGAAATACCATCCATATGAGATGATATTATTGCAAACAACAGCTCTTTACTGGCTGTGCCACACAGTGCTGGTCCCTGGAATCACTTTGTCTTACTTGTTTTAACTTCTTATGATCCACTATGTGTTGTCTACAAGTAACCCAGATTAGCTATACCAACAGAGTTAAACAAACAAAACCTGGCAAACACATACTATCCAAAGATCACTGGAAAAGAAAGCTGGAATGGCTATATTTGTATCCAAGATTTCAAAACAACGATTTTACCAGGAATGAAGAAAGATGGTGCATAGCAGAAAAGTATCAATTCATTTAACACATAAATCCCAAATGTGTATGCACTGAACAATAAACTTCAAAATAGTGAAGCAAAAACACACAAAAATGCAAGAATGGACAAATTAACAACTACACTTGAAGACATTGATGCCTCTCTGTTACCAATTGACAGGTATAATAGAGAAAATCAGTAATAATATAGAAAATCTAAATTATCAACCCACTTGCTATAATTGAGATCTTTGTAGCATTTCACCCAATGGCAACTCATAAAATGTTCTTATATAGGTAGGTGCACATATGACATTCACCAAGATACTGTACGGCCAAACAAACCTTAAGTTCAAAGAAATAAAAATTTAAAAGCATATTTGCTGAAGTGAAGTAGTTCACTTTTCTTTCTCTTGGTGTGTTGCAGCATTTCACTTGGCAATTTTACATCCAGAGGATATTACTATCAAGATGATTTTTCCTGTAGAAGTGACTACAAAACTTAGTAATAACTTAAGTGTTAATGCACATTTGAGTCAAAAGATTTATTTTACTTGAAAGAGCTAGAGAGGCGGGGGGAGGGAGGGGAGGATTTTCCATCTGCTGAGTTGCTCCCCAAATGGCTGCCAGAGCCAAAGCTGGATAGTTCCAAAGCTAGAAGGCAGGAGTTACTTCTGGGTCCCTCCACGCATGTTCCGGTGCTTAAGGACTTGAACCAATCTCTGCTGTTTTTCCAGGCTATAAGTACGGAGCTGGATCAGAAGTGGAGCAGACAGCATTGGAACCAGCACCCATATAGGATGTTGGAGCTGCGAGTGGAAGACTAGCTTGCTAAGCCACCACACCGGTCCAGGTTATCTTTCTTTTCAATGTAAATAAATCCCCAAGGCAACTAACTGTCCCCATAATTCCAGCATATTGGAATGGAACAATAGCTTCAACTTAGAAGTTTCACCTCTTCACTTTACAACCCTTGGGCTACAATTAATTCTGAAGCAGTCCTTTTTTTTTTTTATACTTGATTTTGTCTCAAAATCATTTTCATTTTTCTTTATAACATTCTCTCATTGATCACTGTGCTACGAGGTTTCTCATAGATGCTTAATATACTTTCAGCACTGAAGACTACTGAAAAAACTTTGAAAGCATTCAAAGACACACAAAGATCAGAAACCCCCAGATCAGCTAAAAGAATCAATTGTGAATGAAATAGTAAATGCTGCTCCAGCAACAAAGAATACTGTTACACACTCAAATGATCAAGTATGCTATTTTCTGACATATGATTGTTAAGAGCAAATTATCAGGCCCAGCATGGTGGGCGCGGTGGCCTAGCAGCTAAAGTCCTCATCTTGAACGCGCCAGGAACCCCCATATGGCACTGGTTCTAGTCTCAGCAGCCCCACTTCCCATCCAGCTTCCTGCCCAAAGCCTTGGGACCCTGCACCTGTGTGTGTGGGAGACCTGGAAGAAGTTCCTGGCTCTTGGCTTCGGATTGGTGCAGCACTGGCCATTGAGCTCACTTGGGGAGTGAATCATTGGACAGATCTTTCTCTCTGACTCTCCTCCTCTCTGACTTTGCAATAAAAATAAATAATTCTTTTAAAAAGAGCAAATTATTACAAAAACCTTGTAATTATTGCCTATTGTAAAATTTAGAAGGGAAAATATCCCTAGTAAAATTTTTCCCCACCAAGAACTATTTAATACCTTAGTTTAACTAGAAACTAAATGCACCTTTTTGTTCTTTTCATTATTCGTTGCTGTAGATTAACATGATGTTTTGAAACTGCTGAAAATCAAGAAAGAGGATATAGACCTTGGACTGTGAGGAGAAAACGAGAACTGACAGGGAAGAGAAAACTGGAAATTCAGTTAAGTGAATCCATGGCGGTGTCGAGGAACGGATTTAGGATTGAGCTATAAACGTGGCGTCAGGGTTTTTCTTTTTTCTCTAGGTGTAAATTTTGCTGTAGTCTCTAGCATGGTTCACCTCCACGCCCTCTATTCCTGAAAAAGTCAATGGGGAACCCACGAGGGACCACCTTCCTTCACACTTTCATTCACTGCTCCCACGCGTTTACAATAAAAATGATAAGCCACAAGGGGGAGAAACAGGCAGAGTGTCTCAAACGCCATGTGGGGCTGACCCACAGCAGTCAGCACTGAACCCTGCAGACCCACTGAAACCCCCGATACAAAGCAGGGAGAGCCGTTTCCCCGAAAGGACTGGAAGGCTTGCAGAGGGCCGTGGCAATACATTCCATTCCGGGGATGGGCTGCCACTGCAAACCGGCCCCGGGCAGGACACGCAGCAAGGCTGGTGCCAAAGAGCTTCTTTCTAGGATCTGCTGGTGAGCACTGGCAGCCGCCGTTCCCTACCGCGCCCCCTCTTTTCGCTCCCCAACAATTCTCCCTTCCTCTGTGAGCATAAACGTGAATGAACTCACTGGCTCCCAGTATTTCTTCCTACACCTCTACCCTAATTTGTCCACCGCTCATAGAAACAAACACACGACGCGTACGTTGTCCCAGGATGACACAACACCCACATTACTGCGGAAGCCGAAGAATTAAAGTCACACGCCTCAAAACCAGCCCCAACAGCACCCCCGAGTCCGGGCGGAAAAGCAAATGCGCATGCGCACTGGCCCGCTGTTACCCGATGTGCCCACTTCCCCCGCCTCCTCTCTTCCGTTTCACTTGCACTCCTCCGCGCGTCTGCTTCCGGGGCACTTGTAGGCTCGGCCCCTCCTCAGCTCTTACCCTCCTCTGCCCGAGGAGGGGGGAGTCGAGGGGGTGGGGAAGAGTTCGTTGTTTGTTTACACGATGTGAGCGGAAAAAGACCAATAAAGTTTATTCTGGAAACAAAAGAAAAAAAAAAAAAAAACAGGGGCGGCAGAGAAAGGAGACGGGGCGGGGGCGTGCGGCGGGGGTTCGCGAGGAGAGGCGGCGAGCAGGCGAAAGCGGCAGTTCCGGTGCCGCCGCTCCGGTCTCCGGCGCTGCTCCCGCGGCCGCGGCGGCTGGGGCTGGGGCCGCCGGCGAGGCAGGGCTCGGGCCCGGCCGGGTAGCTCCGGAGCGGCGGGGCCGAGGGGCCGGGAGGCGGCGGCCGCGCTGCCCGCTCGCCTCTCCCCCGCCGCCGCCCGCGGGGCCGGGACCCGATGCGGTTGGAGCCGCGGAGCCTGGAGGAGCCCCGAGCGTGAGTAGACGGGCGCGGTGGGCGCGGTGGGCTCGGGGACGGGGCGGGTGGGCGCGGCGGGCGCGGGGACCGGGCGGGTGGGCGCGGTGGGCACCGGGGACCCCGGGGCGCGCCCGGCGCGTGGGGCGGCCGTCTCCCCGCCGCCTGGGCTCCGGCCTCTCCCAGCCCTGCCGCAGAGGCTGGGGCTTCCCGCTCCCTCTCCTTTTCTGTCTCGGGCCGCCGCCTCGCTCCCCTTTCCTCCCTCTCTCCGCCCGCTGTGTTGTTTTGTTTTTAGGGATGGGGCGACCCGAGGCTTGAGGAAGTACGGCCAGGGCCGCCGCCCCGGCCGCGCTGGCGGGGTCTCTGGCGCCCCGCACGCCCACCCGGCCCACGCCGCGTTGTCGGGGGATCCGGGCGCGGAGCCGCTAGCCCTTCCTGAGAGGCTGTCACACCCTAAGACTCCTGGAGTCCGACCCCGCCAGCCCGGGCGGCCCTGCCTTCGCCTCTCAGAGGGTTTAAATCGCCCGGCAGGGGTATTGAAGGAAAACCCACTCTCCCCACCCTACAACTCCCCTCCCACCCTTCCTTTTCGAGCTTGTTTTTTCCTTTTAAACGAGACAATCGAATGTTTGGCGCTTTCATTCATAGACTAGAGGCATTATCTCATGTGACTTGTGTCTTTACTAAGTCTATTATGCGATGACTGAGTCGGAAAAGGTAGGGTAGCGCCCCGAATCGAGCAGTGTAAACAGCCGCCCTTCAGCCTGTGTGTTTGGACCACGGTTGGAAGGGGGTTATTTTCGGATGCTAAAGGAATTCTGGTGCTGGTGGCCGACCCCGTTTCCAGGCTTGGGAGTCGAAAGCTCTTTTCTTAGATGTCAATAATTGGGGAGCTGTTTACAGAGTTACGTAAAGGGAAAGGGGAACCCGACCGGGAGCTTTGTAGAAAACTGCACGGTCTCTCGTGATGGGAGTTGGGATTGCATCTGGGTGAAGCTTCCTCATTCCAGCACTGCGCCTTTGTGCACAGGCAGGATATGGGTTTGCGGGACGCTGTTTTGGGTGATAGTTGGTGAGGCAGGGAGTTGCAGGGGGGCGGGGAGCTCTAGAAAACATGGGCTGGTCAACTCAAGTCTGATGAATTCTGTGGTTGTTCTTGGGGGCAATGCGGGCGCTGTTGATTGGGCATTCGCTTCCACAGAACAAAATTTGTTTCATGTTGCAAGAGTGGAAAAATGCTTAAGATACTGTGTAGCTAGTTTAGTTCTCAACGCAACTTGAGTCTGAATGTGTTAACCCGTCTGTGTATTTAAGTTTTAGTGATTTTTAAAATCGAAGCATAGAATTTGATTAACAGTACAGAGCTCCATTTAAACATCACACGGTTTGGAGAATTTTAATGATCGGACCAACCGTTCTGCAATGTCATCAGCTAAAATTATCCGAAGGGAGCCGGTGTGTGTTGGTAGTTTTTGTTTTTTTTTTTTTTAATTTTTGTATCACGTGTTCCGGGATGAAATTAAATGGAATGTCATTCATAATTTCTTTTAAACATTTCTTGTGAGTTTTCCCACTTTAAAAAAGTCACAAAATAGGTGATTGAAACAAATGATAGCAAGTCATAATAGCAGTAGCGTTACGGAAAATACTAAAGTGTTATTACGTTAATATATTATGGCTGGCCATGAGAATGAAGTTTGACCGACATTTTCTCAGTTTCAAACAATTTTTAAAAACATTCAATACAGAGAAATGGTTTTAGGTTTTCACTGAATTGGAAGCAGCATTAAAAACAAATACTGTATGTGAACTGAAAGGTCACCCGAGACAGTGTATCTGCTCCTGAGGCTGGATGGGAGGCTGTGTCAGAGAGGCTGTGAGAGAAGCAGTAGCATTGCCTGGCTCTGCATCGAGTGGGTCCTCCTGGAGACTGAGCTTCCTTCCTCTCAGGATAAGATCTCCTTTACCCCAAAGGAGCATTTCTTTAACAACAGCAAAACTTAAAAGAAAAAGAACAAAAACTTAAAGCAGATTACGCTAACCCCCATCCAAAAAGAGTATTCCGTTTCAAAATACTTGAAATAAATCTTAGTAACTCTTTTCCCTAAAACATTTTACTTTGTACACGAAGTAGCTTATTCCTTACAAGTGTCCTTTGCTGAGTAAGGATTTTTAAACAGTTGCAATTAACATTTAAAAGGTATTCATTCTGTTGATCTGTTTATTTGCAGAGAGTTAACTTAATCCCGTTTGATCTCTTCAGCAGCTAGAGTAGCATTAAAGGGATCAATTTCCTAAATTACTGTTTTATATCTTGATTTCTAAACTAGAGGTGATTCTTTAAATGGAATCTGTTTCTTAAACATCATAGAAGATTTTAAAAACCTCCAGTAAAATGATCTTTAAAAAGATAATTTAGAAATGCAAGTTTTAGAGTATCACTTAAGGACACTTATCAAGCAGATTTTCTTCAGTATATTTAGCTGTGTGACAATCCTGACATACAGAGCAGTATTGTTACCCGTAGGGGGTGATGTTCTGAGACCAGAGAGGTGGCAGGGGATAGATTCATTCACAAAACCAATCTGTTTCTTGACTCTACTATATCTTGCTACCTCTACCTTTTTTTTTTTTTTTTTAGTAAAATTAATGAAACAGAATCAGAGAGGACTGGTTAGTTAAGGTTACCTTTCTCCGTATTTGCAGTAGTGAGTATGCATATTTAATTCCCAGTTGGAAAGCCTAATGGTTAAGGCTTCCATGTCCCCTGTTGGCGTTGCCTGGATTCCGCATCCCGCTTCAGCTCTTGACTCCAGGTTCCTGTTCATGCAGACTGGGAAGCAGTGGCTCAACTCATGATTTTCTGTCACCCATGTGGGAGACCTGAATTCAGCTCCTGGCTGCTGGCTTCCGCCAGGTCCTGTCCACCCGTTCATATGGGCATTTATGGGGCGTGAACCAACTAACAGGTGCACTCTGCTTCTGAAAGGCAAGATTTTTAAGTGCTTTAAAAGACCCTTATGAGTTGGTTCTTTTATATCTAAACTCATTTCTCTTTTCTGTACCTGTAACTCCCTTAGGGTTTCCTTGCTTTTATATGCAAATGTTCAGACTTTGTGGAAATATTTGTGTACTGCTCTTTTTTCTTCACTAGCTGACTTCTACTCATCTTTCACAACACCTCCTTTGGTCTGGGTTACAAGTCCCTGCTTCCTGTTCCCTCAGCATCTGTACTCCCACTGTGCTAGTATTGACTTTATTGAATTGTAATTTCCTACTTGTTCGTCTGTCTGGCACCAGTATTAAATTCCAGAAGGATAGGGATTCCTTTTTATCTCACATGTATATTTTTATTGTCATGTGTGATAGTGCAATATGGGCATTTGAGTAAAAAGTATATTGGAGGAAGACTTTTTTACAGCATGTAATAGTAATTCATAAGCTCCAGATACATTTTCATTCTTGCCAAATACATTTGATATTTTGCTCACCACAAATGTATATCCCTAAAATTGCCATGCATGGGAATTTCATTTGGAGACACAACTGAGTTATTACAGATTGTACCAATAATAAAATTCCATTTCAAAACACACACAGGCAAAAATTGGAGTTGTCTTCTGCAGAGCACTCTCCTGGAAATCAGAAGACTTACGTATGTTTCGCCATGAACACAGTAGCTCTGGGGAAGTCTCACAATCTGGTCTTTATCTGTAACATGGAGGGATCATAGTAAATGCTTTGAGTAGTACTTGGTGATCTCACTTTAAAATTCTGAGTATTAACAACGTGGGCATTCAAATATGATGTCTTGGGTCAAAATTTGGTTCCTAAAACTTAGTTGTAGGATGACTTTGGACGAATTTCCTGATCTGTAAAATTACTCAGAGTTACTGACTTAAGTGAGAAAATGTAAATCCAAGAGTTAGTTACCTGGATCAGTACTTAGTAAATGTTAATTTCCTTTCCCCAGCTAAAGTGTTAGATTCCGTAAGTGCCTTTTTCTGACATGACAGAAGGACACGGTCTGTGTAATAATCCTATTTTCCCCTGCCTGTTGCTAGTTCTGCAGGTATAATAAGGGGCCAAAAGTCATTGTTAGTTTCATTTTCTTAGACCTGTCCAGGTGTTGGTCAACCTGCTTGGGAAATTATATCCGGAAGTTTGAACTTGATAAGATAGCAAGGGCCAATCCACGAATACGTATATTATGCGTGATATGGGGGAGGGGAGAGTCTAAACTGATGACCTTATACCACCTCTAAAGATTAACTGAAATAAAACTTGTTTATTTCAGAAGAAGGAAACAAAACTGAGGATGATTTACAAAAGCAGGCCCAGAAACAATAAAATCCGTGTTTACCAAACTTTAAAATGTGGGGATGATTATTTAATAACTTCTGTGGGGGAAATATAGGAAGAATTCGTTTTCTGGTTAGGATCAGTTCTAGAAGGTAGGCACCAAGACTATTTCCAGTGTCGAATTAACCATTATGGATGCCTCTTAGACGGAATTTGTTGATTTTTTTTTTTTTTGTATTTGAGAGCCTTGTTTATTAATTTACTATAGTTAATTTAGCTTTATTTATTTGGTTTAATTGAAAGTAATCTTACATAAAACATAGTACTATGCTGAGGTTTCTTGTTCCTGATTTTCTTTTTCTATAAATCAAATTTACTTGCTTGAGTATCCAAGTAAGTTTATGCAAAAAGTGAATTTTTTAAATGACTTTTTAGAAAAAAAAATTGTAAAAAGTGAAAAACTATGAATAGGAACAATCTGAAGTGTTGGGCTGTAAAGAGCAATGTGAGGCAGTACAGTGAAGTCTGAGGTTGATTTTGAAGACTGCAGATTTCTGTTATTGAAGAAGTTACTCAGCTGGGTTGACATTATCAGCACAAGTTAAGCTTTTTTTTTTAAGATTTATTTTTATTATTTTTTTTATTGGAAAGGCGGATATACAGAGAGGAGAGACAGAGAGAGGAAGATCTTCCGTCCGATGATTCACTCCCCAAGTGAG